GAAAATTCACAGAATTCTATGGATATAATCACAGAAGATTGTGAGCCAGAAGCACAAAATGCAAAAGTGAATAAGGAACGTCATCAACAGCTCAAGGATAAGTTTAAATTTAAGCAGTTTTGGGATAAAATTAAATATATTATTATGGGTGATAGTAACATAGAAGAAAAAGTAATGTCGGTGTTAAAATTTATTTTGCAAGAAGTAAAGAACTATTTCATAGGAAAATTATGTACAAATGATATGCTAAATCAATTATTAAATTTAATTAATGGATAATAGATCCAACTATATAAGAATTAATATAGTTCAATGGAATGCCCAAAGCCTACGCCCAAAAGTGGTAACATTTACAGACCTGCTATTACGAGAAGCTATACATATTGCTATTATTAGCGAAACTTGGCTAGATATTGAATCCTACATAAATATGAGTGACTACAATATATACAGAAAGGACAGGGATGATGGTTACGGTGGAGTTGCTATTGCGGTCCATAAGTCAATTCAATGTTATCAAGAGCGATTTTGTGTGAATAATACAGGAATAGAAGTAGTGAGTATAAAATTAATCAATTGCAAGGACCTGGAACACGTAGTGTCGGTTTATTGCCCGTCTAGTGTTCAGACTCAAGCCTCGGACTGGGATAATATTTTTTCGAAGTTCTCCCGTAAAACTCTGGTAGCCGGGGATTTCAACGGACATCATACCAATTGGTCGGGTAAGTCAGATACACGAGGTTCACAAATTTTGGATGCTTCTTTAGATAACAATTATATATCAATTAACAACGGTGAATTTACACGAATTAAGCTAGTAAATGGCTGCCTACAGCAATCTTCCCCGACATTTCATTTGTTTCGTCGGATGTGGCCATTAAAGTTTAGGTGGTACGTCTCTAATGAAAATTTGTGTAGCGATCACCTAATTATCAGAATGTCGTAAATATAACAAATAGTTTCACCTATCCGCAAACGTAATTACAAAAATGCTAACTGGTATGAGTACTCGCGAAATATAGAAGAAAATATTAACTCACTTGGAAATAATACAGATGATATTCAATACATTTATGATCAGTTTATAAAGGTTATTGACACGGCAGCGAGCAAATATATACCTTATACCACGTGTTGTAATAAACCTGATAATAAATTTAAACCAAAGAGTTATTGGAAACCAGAGTTATCTCGAGTTGTCGCGCAAAGAAGGCTGGCCTTAGTTAACTTCCGACGAAACCCAACTCCTGACAATCTAACAAAATTAGAAAGTATAACACAAAAATCTCAGAACTTAATTCGAAAAGCTAAATCAGAGAGTTGGCATAAGTTTTGTGATTCCTTTAACGAAAAGGTTTCACCAGCCCACGTTTGGCAACGTATGAAATGGGTCAAAGGATTTAGACAACAAAAGATATTCCCTTCTAATGAAAAATGTTTAAACTTATTATATTCCCTTACTGCAGATCATGTTTTACCAGCAGAACCGATTTTCACGTCTAAAAATGAGTTAATAGAATCTGAATTTTCAATCTCTGAACTTCAAGCTGTTTTAAAGAAAAAAGATTCTGCGCCAGGAAAAGACGGTATTTCGTATACAATGCTATACTACCTACCTATTTCGGCTCAAATAATACTGCTTAATTTGTATAATAGAATTTTTATCACCGGAAGTATACCTTCTCAATGGCGTGACATCCAAATAGTCCCTATTCCTAAAAACAATAATAATAGTAGTGAAGTTAAATTAAGACCAATATCTTTAATATCATGTATGTGTAAAACCTTGCATTTAATGATTTTCAGGCGTTTAGAGTGGTATACGGAGAAAGAAAGAATATTGTCGTCGTCCACAGTCGGTTTTAGGAAGTCGCAGTCTTGTTTGGATTGTTTGACTCGATTAGTTACCTACATTCAGATTGGGTTTTCAAAAAATAATGCAACATTAGCCTGTTTCTTGGACATTGAGAATGCCTATAACAATGTTTCAGTTGATATAGCAGTGAATGTGCTTGACAATCTGAACGTAGGTGCTACACTGTGTAAATACCTTTGGAGATATTTGAGTGAAAGGCACCTAAGTGTAGGGTTTAATAATGGTGATATAGTAAGCAGATATACTAATGCAGGCTTAGCTCAGGGAGACCCACTCTCTCCTCTTCTCTTTAATCTAATTACCCATAAAATATGTCATAAACTACAGAATGTGGAGGCTTCACAATATGCAGATGACTTTGTAGTGTATATTAGTGATAAGGACGTCAAATTATGTGAAAAAGTCATTCAAGATGCGTTGGATACAACCGTAGTATTGTTAACTGAATTAGGCTTAACGCTTTCGCCAAACAAGACGCAATATTGCTTTTTTAGTAAGGGCCATAGAAGAATTATTCCTGTTTTAAAGGTAGGCTACCAACAATTGACGTATACAGAAAATGTCAAATATTTGGGTATGTGGCTGGACAGGAGTCTAAAGTGGGGCAAACACATTAATGAAATTTCGTGTAAATGTTCCAAATTTTTAAATATATTGAAAGTATTGGCCGGAAGTTCTTGGGGAATACACATGTCACACTTGCGACGATTATATATATCCCTAATTAGAGCTCGTATTGACTATGCTTGTTTCTTATATGATTGTAGTGTTAAAAGTCACGTTTCCAAACTTGATAAAATTCAAAATCAAGCGTTGAGGGTGATAGGGGGATTTATAAAGAGCACTCCAATTTATGTCATGGAGAGTGAGTTACATGTGGCACCTCTGTTTGTTAGGAGACAATATCTAGCATATAAATATTTGATTAAAAACAGATCAAAGTCGATGAACAGTACTAATAAATTAATAGCCGAAATAAATAGCTTAATATATAACAACAGGTATTGGACTAATAAAAAGAAACCCCTACTTGCACAATCCTTCCAGGATACGAATCAAATCGATTGTATTTCAATGGACACTCTTAAAATGTTTAGCTTTGAAATCTGGTTGTCAGCTGTAGGTTTCCAGAAATACTTAGAAGATAACCTAGAATGTATATCCTTAGCAAAATCTAAATATGAACCTAACGTTCTAATGAACAATGTCCTGAGAGAAGTATGTGTGAAGTATGAGGGCTGGCATAAATTATACTCTGACGGTTCCAAGGGAGCTGATGGCTTGGGCGCAGGTTTTTATGATCAAAGCTGTAATTACAAACAAGGTTTTAAAGTTATCTCAAATGTATCTATAATGACGCTTGAACTCATTGCAATTCATCAAGCTTTGATTTACACAGTGAGGAATAATTACAACAAAATAGTTATTTTCACTGACAGCAAGAGCGCTATACTGCACCTGGCTCGATGCGCCTCTGGTTGCAGCAGAGGTACATCGACAGCCTACGACATCCTAAAAATAATTTTGAATTTTAGCAAAAATAACACAGAGGTGAAGGTGCAATGGGTTCCAGCACACATAGGTTTAATGGGAAATGAGGAAGCTGACCGTCTGTCGAAATTAGCTGCTAAGGAAGGAATGCAACTTGATTATACACCTGATTATTTGGAATATTTACCTGAGTTTAAACAGAAATGCTTTGATGTTTGGCAAAATCATTTTACAGTGACATCAAAAGAAAAAGGCATATGGTACAAGACCATTCAAGGTAAGCTTCCTCAGATTCCCTGGTTTGAGAATAGTAAGGTAGGCAGAAATTATATTAAGTTATTGTTACGATTACGTTCCGGACACTATCCATCAGCGAAATTTGGGTTTCTAATGAAAAAAATAAACTCACCTAATTGTACGACGTGCAACGTTATAGAAGACGTTCAACATCTACTGATGGATTGTGTCAGGAATCAAAGTCAACGGAACGATCTGGTCAATGAATTCCAGCTAAATATGCAAGAGGTGGGGTTGATACAATCTATTTTAGCTCAGCCAAATTCTAAATTAGCAAAACGATTGTGTCAGTTGATGTATTTCGTTGATTAAGACTAAGTTAATTAGGAACTTTCATAGTTAATTTTAAGGTTTTGTTTATATAATGGTTGTAGGTAGTATTAGGTACGATGGGGTTGGCGTATCCTCATGGATAAAAACCCCGTATTAATTAAATGTAGAATAAAAAAAAAAAAAAAAAAAAAGAAGTTTCGTATTCTATCCGTGAAGGGTAATTCAAAAACGTGCAATGCTTACGCTCAAATAGTACTTTTCCAACTCACAGCATGTGTATATATAATGAAACAATAATATTGAATGTGAGGTTCCACTTGTCCTCTTTCTTATTCTTTATGGAATAGGAGGCAAACGAGCAGGCAGTTCACCTGATAGTCAGCGATCAGCGCCACCCATGGACACCCGCAACACCAGAATAGAAACAGTTGCGTTGCGACGGCCTTTTAGAAAGGAATACGCTCTTTTCTTTTCTTACACCACAAATAGTTCTTTGTCTTGCTGTTTGATAATCTTCATTAATCAAAGTCTCAGCCATCAGCATAATACACCACTTCCTAATACAACCAGCGAGTGTATTAAAGGATCAAGTCTACCGAGTGCTGTGACCAAAGAACATGAGTATTTATTCGTTTTATCATTATCATCATCAATAAGTGCCCACTGCTCAGCAAAGCCTCTTCTCACACAGAGAAGGTTTGAGCATTAATCACTACGCTTGCTCAATGTGGATTGGCGATTTCTAACTTATAATTAGAAATTATAAGCCCAGGTTTCCTCACGATTTTTTTCTTCACAGTTTATTAGTGGTGTCTAAATAATCTCACAAAGTACATATAGTTAACTCAGAAAAAGTCAGGTTGGTACTTGCCGATGGTACTTACCGTTGGTAGGTATCGAACCCTCAAGCATGAGAAGCGCACGTGTTCCCCTCCGGGCCACCACCACACAAGAAATCCCAAAGAAGTCCAGAAGTCGTTTCAAGAAGACCCAAACACAAAACGTTCAACCTCCTTTCTGTCATAACCACAAACGTCACTGTCAAACTTGACACTTTATATCACATCACAAAGATGGCGAAATCAGCTGGTCGAAGTTATACGAAATTTAAAGAAAAATGCTGGTGACTGCAGTGCCAATGGATGGAGTGATCTGTCCTCGGTTGATGGGCTGGTGTTTACATGTGTTTCTGCATTTGCGCACCACGTTTATGCTGTTTTCCTTCTATATTTTTACCTTGCTTGTCTTGTCTCCCGCTTTGCATCAAAGGTAAGAACTTATATCACTTACAAAGTGGATATATGACCTGTTAAGATTGCAGGGAGCTGCTGGATGTAAGTTCCAGCCGATTTGGAAATCTTTTGGAGTAAAGGACGTATGATGATGAAGAACTAATAGGACACTCACGTTATCATCATCAGCTACAAGATTATCACGTCCACGTACCACATTTCACTGTTTATGTTATGAGTCCCATGTAATAGGGAGTGAGCCTATTGCCATATATCGGGCACAATTCCAGACTCCGTGCTACTACTGAGAATTTTGTAAAAACCCAGTAATACTTTGATGTACCGACCCGGGAATCGAACCACCCGGAGTTCCCATCGGCCAACGACGCAGCATTTTTTTAATATTTTGTCTTAAAATTAAACCATAGCTTAAAGTCTTTGACAAGCAAATTAAGAGTATTTAAAATATCTTGCATAACTTGTAATAAAATAGTTTTCACCATTGTTTTATTCTCTAAATCGTTGCCCCATGCTAGTATTTTCTTCTGTGTCGTGGTTGCATTTACTAACATACAATTTTACATGGGCACATGTCATAATATTGTGGTATCTTAATCTAAAGATATCCTTTTTTTAAACGTTGCCCCACACAAGGACGTTCTCCTGTGCCGTGGGTGCGTTTACAAACATACAAGTTCACATAAGTCAAAGTCAAAGCGTTTATTGCAACTAAGTGTACAGATGATGGTTATACATACATGACACCCAGACCCGAAACAACCATTTGTGGATCACACAAAGAGTGAGGGGGAGGCCTTTGTCCAGCAGTGGACGTATTCCGGCTGTTGATGATGATGATGATGACAAAGAGTTGCTCCGTGCGGGAATCGAAACCGCTACACGCGGTGCAACAGCCAGTTGCCCAACCACTGCGCTAAAAAGTGCAGTCAAAACGTATTCTATATCTTTTCAAGATTTAATTACATTCTTTCTTTTGACCGTCCCCAGGTATAAAATGCTGTCAATGTTTAGTAGTTCACTTGGATGATGACTTCGACCAACATCCAGTGAAACCCAAAAATAGTGATTCGAAAGAAAAAGATATCATCCCACCCAAGAACATGTAATAACAATATTATATTGAAATTATAAATGTTTTTCAATTATATTATACGTAGTACTCTTTCCCCATGTTTCGTGTCTGCCGTCTTCGTCGCTCCAAATAAAAGGTAAAAGTATCAACAACTTAAATTAGCAATGTCTGATGTCACAAGAACCTTAAAAAAAGAGCGTATTCCTTTTTAAAAGGCCGGCAACGTACCTGTGACTCCTCTTGTGTTGCGGGTGTCTAGGCGGCGCTGATCGCTTACCATGAGGTGATCCGTCTGCTCGTTTGCCTCCTATTCGATAAAAACCAAGAAAACACTACGTTACACGGAAATCGATTTCAGTACCTCTGCTGACCAAAATAAGGAAGATCTAAAGCCTTTATGTGCTTTACATACAGTTACAAATTCCGAAGTAGAAGAGAGAGAGAGAATTTAAAAATACTTCTTTTATTTACGTATTTATGTATTCATTTCTTTCATTAACAACTATCATGATAATCAAATAGTAAATATTAGCACGCCTTTTATCCCGAAAGAGGTAGCCAGAAGTGTAGGTATATGTACCTACGTTGTGTGTAGGTACGTGTGTTATGTTATGACATAACATAACATCAGACTTTTTTTATCCCCAAGGAGGTAGGCATTGTGCCACTGTACAATGTAACACCCACTATTCACTACTTATGTTATGAGACAACTTTCCTGGGAATTACTGTAGACGACAAATTGCAATGGGGTCCTCACATTACATCATTAGCGGGACGATTGAGCTCTGCAGCTTATGCTGTCTGGAAGATACGACAGTTAACTGACATAGACACGGCAAGACTAGTGTATTTCAGTTACTTTCATAGCATTATGTCGTATGGCATCTTGCTGTGGGGACACGCTGCTGACATTGAATCTATCTTTATCTTACAAAAGCGCGCCGTCAGAGCTATCTACAATCTAGGTCGTCGCGAATCACTCAGAGAAAGGTTTAAGGAGATCAACATTATGACCGTTCCATGTCAATTTATTTATGAAAACATTATGTATGTTAGGAAAAACCTACAGTTATTTGGTAAAGTGTCGGACGGACACCACTATCAAACTAGACATAAAAAGATTAAGTCAGCCAATTTCGAGATTAGCGAAAGTAAGTAAGTCGTTCATGGGATTCTGTGTTAAATGTTATAATAAGATACCAGGCGATGTACAACAACTAAATGAATCGAAATTTAAATTATGTATAAAGAAAACTTTATGTAGACAAGCATATTACAAACTTAATGAATATATAGAGGATAAAAATGCTTGGATGCAGGCTAGTCCGGCTCCACAGGATAACTAAAAACACTTGTTTTAATGAAATCGTAAATAATACAGCCATATTGCTAAATTGTATATTGTTTAACTTAGATAACCATTGTAAATGTGAGAGCCCTGTAATTAACTTAATATTAAATTAGATTAGTAGATTTCATTTGTGTCAGCTTGGAGTTGTCATGCTCACTCAAAGGTCTCATTGGCGGTGGCGCGTGCAGTGGATCGCTCGATTCCCTACAATATGGTTGAGTTGGGCGGTGCTGGTGTACGTGTCATGTTCGTGAACGGGCGCCGTCAACTGGGACTGGTCAGCTCCAGACTGTATTACTGTCCTTAAGGTTATTTTCTTTTTTGATCACTCTGACTGGATTTTAGTGTTACATTGTTCTCGCACAATCCAAACAGCAAAACTATGTAACTAGTAAATTGTATTGTGAACCTGATTGAAAAAGAGTAACCTATGGAGTTTCTTGCTCGTTCTTCTCCATAGGAATCTACGCCTTGGAATGAGCAAATAGCTTCACTTTAAATTTTTGTTTTTGTTGACGTTCAAAAGTGCCATTTTGGCCTAATTGAAATAAATGATTTTGACTTTGACTTTGACTTTGACTTTGACTTTGACTTTGAGTCCCATGTAATAAGGAGTGAGCCACTACCATATACCGGGCAAAATTCCAGACTCCATGCGGAAATATTTAAAATACCCAGTAATACTTTGGCCGACCCGGGAAGCGAACCCGAGACTTAGACCTAGCAGTCGCACTTGTGACCACTCGGCCAACGAAGCAGCCTGTCATTAAATTCGATAGTGCAGTCATTAGTCTTACAATATTTTTCCAGACCTGAGACTTACTGTGAATTTCAATACAACCTGAAACTGTGAATTGTGCCCGGTATATGGCAATAGGCTCACCCCCTATTACATGGGACTCATAACATAAATAGTGAGAAGTGGGTGTTACATTGTACAGTGGCTTTAAGTGCCGTAATGTGCACCTCTGCCTACCCTTTCGGGGATAAAAGGCGTGATGTTATGTTTTAAATAATAAGTTAGACAAAAAAAACTAAGAAAAAAAAAATTACTAAATATCGCGGGTTACTCACGTGAATATACTGAGAAAACCCCTACAATTCCAGACTCCGTGCTACTACTGAGAATTTTTTTAACACCCAGTAATACTTTACCCGACCCGGGAATCGAACCAAAGACCCCTTGCCCGGCAGCCGCACTTGCGACCACTTGACCGTTGAGGCAGTCCTATTATTTATTATTTAAGTAACTACCTTTTTATACTCTGACGTCGTGATCGTGTAATTAGGAACCATACACATTACACGCAGTACCTACTTACATATGTTTTTTACAATAAAATAACCAGTATTTACTGATCTTGAACTTTGAATGTCAAGGTAAATGAAGATCGGTGACATCGGAATAACAAAAAATATTATTGGATTGCCAATAAGGAGGGGGAAAAAAGATTAAAAAATTGTTGTCGAGTATCCTGCCATACCTAACTTCTGAACACTGTACATACTGCCAGCAGATCAAGGTAATCTGTCAATTATTGTCATTGGATTTTGGACTTTCTACTAAAATTATAAAGTTGAAAATCCAATTAAATGTTAACAGGGTTGATCTGTTAGGTGTCTGCAAAACAGATTTTATTTAAAAAGGTTTATTTTGATAAAAATAAAAATCGAAATCATTCAAATGCATTAAATAAACCGGTTTTTAGATATGTTATGCGCGGATAACTTGCATTGACAAATACAGTCGGGTAAAAAGAGTACAAATTATTGGATTACAAAGGATCCAGGACAGGTTTATCTGTAGTAACTTAACCTTGAAAAAATATAAGCACACATTAATGGCCTAATAAATAAGTCTCCGCCTCGATCTAAGTATGCGACAAAAAACTCTACACAACATATGTGAAACTCGATCTTAATCATCACGCCTTTTATCCCCGAAAGGTTAGGCAGAGGTGCACATTACAGCACTTAATGCCACTGTAAAACGTAATACCCACTTTTCACTGTTTATGTTATGAGTCCCATGTAATAGGGGGTGAGCCTATTGCCATATACCGGGCACAATTCCAAACTCCGTGCTACCACTCAGAATTTTTTAAAAACCTAGTAGTACTTTGCCTGACCCGGGAATCGAACCCTTGACCACTCGGCCAGCAAGGCAGTCGATCTTAATCAAAAGATTTTAAGTCGTTTATTAATTTCGGACTACCAGGACTCTGATAAACTAAAACCTTTCAACCATGCAAAACCCAGGCAATACCAGCAGAATATGGGAAGAAGGTCCATACGCCTCCAGTAGACTCTCATGTCAGTACACATGTGTTGTTAGCGTTGAAGACCAAGACCTTCTAAACAAATTGGATCGAATGCTCGATAACTGTATTCGCCTTATCTTCGGTCTTCATGTCCATGGACGACGCCGATTACTTACCATCAGGTGATCCGTCTACTCGTTTACCGGCTGATCCCATAAAAACAAATATATGACCATGTCTCTTTCTAAGGTTCCAAATCTCCCAAAGATTGACTTGGAGAAAATGCCGGATTATGGCATTAAATATGCCGTATTTACTTTCATTAACTT